ATGGAGCTTACACACTCTGGCTGGACACTTTCTTTCCCCCACCTTTATTCCATTTGAGTTCCAGGCCTATTTGGATGTTGCCACCCACATTCAGAACAGGTACTTTCCCCCCTCGATTGCTGTCCTCCATGTCAATCACCTCTGACAACACCCCCACAGATACACCAAGAAGTGTGTCTTAATAGTCCCCTAGGCATCTCCATCTAGGCAGGTTGATAATCAGACCATGACAAGTAATTTTTACACTCCCTTGGATTTCACTGAGCCTTGAATTTCACTGAGCCTCTACATTTATCAGGTGCTTTACAGGGAATAGAAATGATAGGAACGACTTCTTCAACTTGAGTGTGTATCCGACTCCCATAGAGGCTCTCCTTGGTGGACCCTACTTCCAGACGTTTTCACTCAATAGCATTATGTCCATTCATTTTTCATGTATTTATTTTTATTTTGGTGCTGGGAATTGAAGCCAGGGCTTTGTGTAAGTTAGGCAAGTGCTCGTCTGCGAAGCTATACCCCTAGACCACTGAGTCATTATTTTTAAACAAAAGTTTTAAGATACAGTGGAGGTGGGCTGGAAACGTAATATAGCATTGGAGTGTCTGTCTGGGATACAGGAGGAGTCCTTGTTTAAATAAAAAAGAAAGGTATAGTGCATGGTTGTGCCCTTGCTTTTTTTCTTCTGCTATGACATCCATAATATCTCACACAGGGTTGATTCCTTTAGTTTGAGTTCCAGGCAGAAGAACCAAAGCTGACCTGTAATTGCCATGCATGTAAGCAAGCAACAAAGTAACTCCCTGAAATGCTGGGGTTGTTATTTTAGCTGAACGAGCTATGCAAACTCCTCATACTAAGTGTACTTAATATTCTGTAACAGGTTTGTATCCTTATGAAAGCCAAAGAAATGAATGGGAAAAGCTAATACTCTTCCATTTCAATAATATTCTGTGTGTACATGCATATACACCATTCAGATAATAGCAAGAATCATATTGCCACACGCAAACTGTTTTTGTTTTGAGACAAGGTCTCATGTAGTCTAGGCTTGCCTCAGATTTGCTGTGTAGCCCTAGAATGACCGTGAACTCACAAATGCTGGGATCACAGGGATGAGCCGTCATGCTCAGCACCATGTGCAAATTGTTTATCAGCCTTCTCCATGGAAACAGACAGGAAATAAGCCAAGAGCCATCTGCTTGTCTTGACAAAGGTCACCTTTTCGGAGATGAGTCTAAAAATAATACACACAGATCAGAGAGACATATATACACGCACAAACATGAACTATACACAAAATAAAGAGAAGTAAGAGCATATTTCTTTTTGTTGTTTTTGTTTTGTTTTGTTTGAGACAGGATCTCATTTTGTAGCCCTGACTGGCCTGGAACTCACTAGGTAAACCAGGTTGGCCTAGAACTCACAGAGATACACCTACCTCTGCCTCCTGAGTGCTGGGATTAAATGTGTGCCACCATGCCCAGCTTCCTTACGTCTTCTAACCAAACAGAAAACAATAGTCATTGTAAACATGCAAACATTTCTGTGCATTTAGAGCAATGAATGCCGAGTAGCCAGAGATGAAAGAGGTTAGGCACAAGCCTGACCTGCAGACTCACAAATGACTCAAAAGCAGTGACATCTAAAAAGCCACTGCAACGTGGGAGACAGGCCAGGAAGCAGACAACCTGGAGCTGTCTGCACAGCTTGCAGGCAGCTGGACAGGCGCCAGCAACATCTTCTGGGCAGCCAGCCTTCTCTAGGCAGCTTCACTCGTCAGAGTCTCCTCTCTGGTGGTTGTTTAGTACTTGGCTAACACTGGGAAAGGGGCCTGGTGAATCTTGAGACTTTCGGCTTTCCCTGGGGTGTGAATATATGTTACCTCCCCAGTCTCATAAGCCTCCTCCTTCCCTCCCTTCTGGAGGAAATGCTTTCACTCCGAGGAAACTGAAGTATGAAGCATGGGTTTAAGTTGAATAGACAGTTTATGTGACGTGAGAGCTCTAGAGTCAGTGACGTCTATGTGCTTAGAGACACTATAGCCAGGGTGGGGATTCTGGACCCAAATACACAGGCTGTGAAAATGCAAAATGTAATAAATGGAGCAGTCAGGTGTCTCCTATGTTTCGTCACCACAACATCTTATTGCTGCATAGAGAGTTCATGCTCGAAAACCACATACATGAGTGACAAAAACACATAATTGAGTGACAAAAAAGAATCACAAAAGATCTATCCCCCACTCCCCAGACAGGGTTTCTCTCTGTAGCTTTGGAGCCTATCCTGGAACTAACTCTTGTAGACCAGGCTGGTCTCACAGAGATCCACCTGCCTCTACCTCCCGAGTGCTGGTATTAAAACCGTGCACCATCATGCCCAGCCACAAAACGTCTTTTAAGTAAATTTATAATTTTATGTTTGGTTTCGTTCAAAGCTGTTCCAAGACACACATGGCTTATGGGCTGAAGGCTTGGACACACCTGGCAGATTTTTCTAGAGTACATTAACCTGAGAATGGGTGCATACAACAGAAGTAAAGGCTATTGGGTAGCTAGGGAGATAGCGAAGTTGGTAAAGTGCTTGCAGACCTGAGGACCTGTGTTGGATGCCTGGAATCCAAGTAAACAAATTGGGTGTGGTGGCTGTCAGCTTGTCATTCCAGGCTGTCAGGAGGATCTCTGGGGCTTGCCAGCTAGCCAGCTTGGGTGTTCTACTTAGGGTTTCTGTTGCTCTGATGAAACACCATGGCTAGCCGGGCGATGGTGGCACACTCCTTTAATCCCAGCACTCGGGAGGCAGAGGCAGGTGGATCTCTGTGAGTTTGAGACCAGCCTGGTCTACAAGAGCTAGTTCCAGGACAGGCTCCAAAAGCCACAGAGAAACCCTGTCTCGAAAAAACAAAAAAACAACAACAACAACAACAACAACAACAAAAAAAAACAAAAAGAAAGAAAGAAAGAAAGAAAGAAAGAAAGAAAGAAAGACAGACAGACAGACCATGGCCAATAAGCAAGTTGGAAGGAAATGGTTTCTTTGGCTTAACTTCTACCTTATAGTCCATTATTGAAAGAAGCCAGGACAAGAACTCAGGTAAGGCAGGAACCTGGAGTCAGGAGCTGATGCAGAAGTGATCGAGGGGTGCTATTTACTGGCTTGCTTCTCATGACTTGCTCAGCCTGCTTTTTATAGAACCTAGGGCTACTGGCCCAGGGATAACACCACCCACAATGGGCTGGGCCCTCCCCCCATAGATCACTAATTAAGAAAAGGCTCTATCTACACAGCTGCAGAGGCCTGTGCCTGTGGCCATGGCCCCACCACAGCTGGAATCTGTAATGATCTCCATGGCCTGTGTTGCAACCAAAGCCTTGTGGTTGCCTGGCTTCTGGGCCACACTGTCTTTGAGGATATGCTGATGTGAGTAGCCTGCACTGCCATGTAGGGCCATGATGACATCCAGGCCAAGTCAGTGGCTGAGGGTCATGTCTGGTCCTGTGATCCTACTACAGCCAGGGTCTGTTGTGTTGATGTCCATGGCCCGTGTTACCACAGGGGTTATAGGAGAACTGGCCCTCCTGACCTGAGCACCAGGGAGCTGGGTCTGCCCCTCTTTAGCCACCTCAGAAAGAGAGCTGTTGCACCCCATCCCGGGAGAACTGGCCCCAGTGGACTAGGTGCAGGAGAGCTAGCCCTGACCCTCCACAGCCCCAGGAGAACTGTCCCCGCTCCTTGCCAGCTACCACTACTGGAGAGCTGGCCCTGCACTTAGGGGCGCTAACCCCACCCCTCACCACCTGTTTGGGAGAGTTGGCCCTAATGGCTTAGGCACAGGAAAGCTGGCTTAGACCTTTGCCTGAGGTGGAGGCCAAGACTGAACAACTCAGCTACCACTCAGGCCCGCATCCAGGGTTTTGAGTTGGCCTACCCTAGCATCTACCCGACCTGTGACCTGCTGGAGCACATGATTGACTGGTCCTGTCTAGCCATAGCCACAGGATCTCTGTGACTTAGGCCAATAGCCGAATATCCCAGAGAAGTTCAGATGATGGGCCAGTATTGATGGTGGACCAGAAGCCAAGGCCTTGAACTTGGCCAACAACTCGTTGCAATGAATATTTTGTAAGGAAAGCTCTTTGGGCAAAGGGGTCTACTGCATGACAAACTGCAGCTCACAAGGCCACTAGGACCAATAAACACACGATGAGAAGACAGGAAAGAGAAAGAAGTGAAAAGAATTCTTTTTCCTTTGGGGAGTGGGGAGGCTACAAGGGTGGGCGGCAGACATGGGAAGACTGGGAAAAGAGTGGAACGGAGCTGCATGATGTGAAATTCCCAAAGAATCAATAAAGATGTGTTTATATAAAAAAGGAGAGACAGGAGAAAAAGAAAAGGAAAGAGGAGAGCAAACAGAGAGGGGCTGGTATTTATGGGTACCATTAACCTATCTGCAAAGCTCAGAAGTTGCTGTTTTCCAAGAGGAAGCTTTATTTGAGGCTATGGGAGATGGGTAAAGTTAGGTGACAGGTTAGAAACTAAGTAGGCAGGAATGGAGACCAAAATAAGCAGGTTCAGGTAAGTTGATTCTGGAAGACCTTTGAGGGTCGAGCTGGAAGTGCTTGGCAGCTACTTCTGCCCCTTGGTACCTCGATCTGCACACAAGGCAGGGAACCAAGCTGAGGACTGACCTCGAGGCCGCGATCCTATCCTCAACTCCAAAGAACCCAGGCCTTGCACCATCCAGTATGTTCCTTTTCTCCAGCCTGAGGATTTGAGGGGCACTCTCAGGGAACGGAGGTGAGCACAGCCAGCAATGCGCGCTAGAGCGCCCTCTGGGGCAGCCCGGGCGGGGCGCGAAGCAGTTTGGTAGGAGGAGGAGGAGAAGGAGGAGGAGGTGGAGGAGGAGATGGAGGAGGAGACATGGGCGGTGCTTGGGCGGGGCGAGGGCGTGTCCAGGGCGGGGTTGGGGCCGGACCATTCCGGGAGGAAGTGGTTCCGGGTCTCCTAGATCCGCGAGGGCGGCTGGGTGCTGTTGGAGCAGGAGGCGGGAGCTGAGCAAGGGGCGAGGCCTGGAGGAACCTGAAGCGGCTCTGGTGTTGAAAGCGACGGCGGCGGCGGCGGCAGCGGCGGCGGTGGCTTCACTGCCGGGTGAGCGGTCCAGGAGCAGGCATAGCAAGGAGGCCCCGGCCTGCAGGGGAAGGAGGGTGTGTCCTTCGCTCAGGAGAGGCAGTTCTCACAGTGGCTGGAGGGGCGGCCGGGATGGGGCGGCCGGGATGGGGTGGCAGGGATCGGGCGGCAGGGATGGGGTGGCAGGGATCGGGCGGCCGGGATGGGGCGGCCGGGATGGGGCGGCCGGGATGGGGTGGCAGAGATGGGGCGGCCGGGATGGGGTGGCAGGGATGGGGCGGCAGGGATGGGGTGGCCGGGATGGGGCGGCAGGGATGGGCGGCAGGGATGAGGCGGCTGGGATCGGGTGGCGGGAAGGCTAGGCTTCTTCGGGCACTGCGTCCCTTCTCTCCTCGCCCGGCCACCGCCTTCCCTCTGCTGCGCACGGTGCGCCTCAGGGCCCCCGGCGGGCACCTGGCTCTCGGGGCGATAGGTGACTGTCGCCACCAGTGCCTTGCCTGCGGCGCCCTAGGCGACACCTGCCCGCTGCCTCTGCCTTCCCCGCCCACAGCGTCGGACAGGTGGCGGCTCCCTTCTCGGAGTGTCAGTGCTGGGGACCAGGAAGGGGGCGGTGCCCCGGGGATGGAGCGCTGGTTCCTCAGGCGGCCCCGGGACGTGTCCACCTGCGGGACCCGAGTGCCCACTTTGTCCGCGGGAGACGCTGTGGCAGCCATCGCCGGGTCTTCCCCGGGGAAAGCCAAAGAGTAAGGGAAGACGGCTGGGAGGATTTTAGTCACCTGTGCCGCTGGCAGGACTGCCCTGGAGAAACTTAGTCCCCGAAATAGTTTCCTTTGGAGGGGGACTTTGGGAGGTACACCTTAAGTGGTAGCTTTTCTGGAACACATTACCAACTACTAGTAGAAAATGGGCTCCTTGAGATTCCTGTCACGCAACCTTTGGAGCACATTTTTTTTTTCTTTTGTAGCCCCAGGGGTTAAAGTTAGGCCCTCCCCTGTGGCAAGAGAGCACTCCACCAGAGACAGATGTGTATCTGCAGACTCAGCAGCTCTCACCTCAGGCAGCTGTGTAACTCATTCTATAGGTCAAGCAGGCTTCGAACTTTCTAGAGTAGTGTAGTTGGGATTATAAGGCCTGCACTGCCAGGACTGGCACGTTTTTTAACGTCTTTTCCCCCCTAGGTGTGAACAGGTTCAAAAAAAATCTAAAAAAGGCTTTGCTGTAATTTCATAAGTTTTCATAAGCTTTCAAAAACTCTAACTTATGTTTTTTTTCTTCCTTCCTTCTTTATTTTTATTTTTCGAGACAGGGTTTCTTTATAGCTTTGGAGCCTGCCCTGGAACTCGCTCTGTAAACCAGGCTAGCCTCGAACTCACTGAGTTCCCTCTGTCTCTGCCTCCTCCTGAGTCCTGGAAGTCCAGCCACCACTGCCAACTGCCAGGTCTTCACCCCCCCCCCCCAAAGAAAGTCTTCTAGCCCAGGTTAGCCTTGATCTCACAGTGTGCTAAGGCTAGCCTTGAACTTCTGATTCTTCTGCCGCTGGCTTCTAAACTGGACTACAGGAAAATATTAGACATGCCTGTTTTATTTTTCTTGTTTATTCATAGCACTTCAGCTTTTTATTTAGTCCACGTTTGTAAAAAAAAATAGTTTAGTGTTTTTAGAAGTGAGCAAGGAATTTGAAGTTACGACCTTTGAATTATATTATCTCATTACCTTGGCCAAATCACTTTACTTTTTCTAAGATATTTCCTCAACAATGGACAAGGTGTTATAATGTGTTTGCCTTACCTTTCTTTTAGGGTCATATGAGACATTTATGGAAAATACATTTCATAAACCTTGTCTTATTGCAGTTTTTGCTTTCTTGTAAAAATTTCAGAGCACAGGAGCATTTTGTAGCACACAATTTCGTTTATTTATTTATTTATTTATTTATTGAGACAGGGTATGTCTCGAACAGCCCTGGCTGTCCTGAAACTAGCTCTGTAAACCAGGCCTGCCTCTGCCTCCCAAGTGCTGGGATTAAAGGCGAGTGCCACCACCATCACCCAGCTAGGCACATAAAAATTTAAAAGTAAATCTCTTGGGACTGGGGAAAATGACTAATCATGAGGACCTGAGTTCAGATTCCCAGTACCCAAATAAAAAGCCAGAGCTGCAGTTACCTCTAACTCCAGCTCTCAGGAGGCACAGGGAGGAGGGTCCCTGGAGACCATCCAGGTAAGTTGAAATGGAAGACCCCTGTCTAAAACAAGTAAGGTGAAGAGCTATTGAGGAAGATGGCTACTTCTGGTCTCCACATGGTTGCATACACATGAACACACATACAAGGAAGGACATGCCCACAATCACACACAAAAAAAGTTAGACTTTTTGAAAGCTGTTCTGGGGCTAGGCATGGATTTCAGTTGATAGAGAACTTGCTTAGCATGTTTGAAGCCATGAGTTCAATTTTCAGCACTCAAAAGTTAGATTCAAAAGATTATAGATACAACCTGGGAAGTGGCGGCACAGACAGTGGCAGAGGCAGGCGGATCTCTGGGAGGCCAGCCTGGTCTACCGAGAGAGTTCCAGGACAGGCTCCAAAGCTAGAGAAACCCTGTCTCAAAAAAACAAACAAATAAACAAAAAAGGTTGCAGATTCAGGTGTGTGCGTGTGCTTCTTCCAGTACTGTGAATTGAGCCCAGTATTTCCTGTATGCCAGACAATCACTCTACCTACTTAGCTGTATCACTAACCCTCAGGTTTTGATTTTTTGTTGTTGTTGTTTGTGTGTATGTGTCAAGCAGGTTGTCACTGTGAAGCCCAAGCTTGCCTCGGGTACTGAGTGTCTGGATTACAGGTATGTAGCACCATGTCTGCCTAACAGTCACAAGTTTGAGGCCATCCTAGGCACTTTATTAAGACCCAATTTCCCTGGGCATAGTGGTTTTAACACCTTTAATCCTAGCACTAGGGAGGCAGAGGCAGGGAGATCTCTTTGAGTTAGAGACGAGCCTGGTCTACAGAGTTCCAGGTCAGAGCTATATAGTGAGACCTTGTCTTGAAAAAAATCTGTCTATCTCTTTTTTTCCCGAGGCAGAATTTCTCTTTATAACAGTCCTAGCTGTCCTGGAACTAGCTCTTGTAGACCAGGCTGTGCTTGGACTCACAGAGCCTCTGCCTCCCGAGTGCTGGGATTAAAGGTATGCACCACCACCATCTGACTTTTCCTTTGTTTTTTGAGACAGTCTCATTTAGACTGTCTTGACTCCAAATTTGTAATCCTTTTGCCTGTATCTCTTTAAGTAGTATTAGAGGTATGTGTGCATTACACTTCATTTATATCAGTGGTTCTCAACCTTCCTAATGCTGTGACCCTTGAATATAGTTCCTCATGTTATAGTGACCACCAATCACAAGATTATTTTTGTTGCTGCTTCGTAACTGTAATTTTGCTAAATATCTATGTTTTCTGCTAATCCTAGGTAACCCCTATGAACTGGCTACTTGACAACCCAAGAGGGGTTGTGACCCACAGGTTGAGAACTACTGATTTATGTGGTTCTGGTGACTGAACCTTAGGGTTTCATGCATGTTAGGCAAGCACTGTGCTAACTAAACTTCATCCCAGCCGCTTTTCTTTGTTATTTTAAGTGTTTAATATCTTATAAATGACACATATTTAGTCTTTAATTTGTACTGATTTTATTATTCATTTGTACTATTTTACTATTTATTTGTAGTATTTATTTGTATTGCGTTTATTACAATGAATTTGTGTGTGTGTATTTATGTCAGTGTTGCATGCATGTTAAGGCCAGAGGTTTGATATCAATTGTCTTCTTTGATAGTTGCCTATCTTATTTTTTAAATTTTTATTTACTGTTAGAGTTCAGGTATGCACTCACATATGTGCTGGGACATATGTGGAGGTCAGATGACAGCGTGGAATCAGTTCTCTTCATCTACCTTTGGTTTGGGGGATCAAACTCATTTGTCATGCTTATTTATGTACAAAGCATCTTTGTAAGCTGAGCCAGCTCATTGTCCTGTCTTATTTTTGAGACAGAGTCTTTCACTAAACCTGCAATTCATTAATTGTGCTAGAGTAGCTGGCGAGCACATGCCTTTGCAGCCCAGGGATTACAGTTGTGCTGCTGGACCAGCTTTTTATGTAGGTGATAGGGAGATGAACTCAGGTCCTCATGCTTACTTGGCAAACATTTTATTGATGGAGTGTTTATGATGGAGATTCAGTCTCATAATTTTTTAACTGGTCACTGTTTTTAGTGCATCCCATAGAATTTGATTGTTTAGTCTTTACACACACACACACAAACACACACACACACACACACACACACACACACACACACACACCTCACTTGAGACAGGGTATTACTCTATAATCAAGGCTGACTTTAGACTCTGTGTAGCCCAGGGTGCCCTAAAACTCATAGCTATCTTCCAGTTTCAGCCTCCAAAGTGCTGAGCCACCATGTGAGCCACTATGCTTTGCTTCATTGTCAATTTTTTTTAATTTTAAATAAACAGTTCTTTATGCCTGAAGAAATGAATCACCAATTAAGAGCACTTGTTTCTCTTATAAAGAACTTGGATTTTGTTTGCAGCAATCCACATGATTGTTCCCAACTATTGAAACACCAGTTCCAGTTTATCTGATGACCTTTTCTGACCTTAATGGGTTCCATATGGTACACAAACATGTATGCAGACCAGCACAATATATATATAAAGTAAAAAAAAATTAAAAACTTATCATTTTTACGCTTACTTAGTGTGTATTTGCATGTTCATGCCATGGCATGCATATGGAAGAAAGACTTGTAAACTCCCCATTGTTTTTGTTTTGTTTTTTTTTTTTCATGGGTTCTGGGGAACCAACAAGTCTCTGTGCTTGTATGGCAAGAACTTTACCTACTGAGCCATCTCCCCAGTCCCTGGGAACATTAGTATTTTTGTTTTAATGGCCTATGTTTGTATTTAACCTCTTTCTAAGATGTTTACTTTTCTGTTTTTCTTTGTGTGAGAAAGATAGGAATTACTTTATCCCATGTAACCAAATTATAGGAATGATAAGCAGCAGTGGAGTTCTGTATGCACTTACTGAAGAACTGGTGATAAGGTAACATGCTTTGTGACCATCAAAATAATCCATGCGTGATCTCCTCACTTCTGCTTTTCCCTTTCCTCTGAGCACACTTATTCCTCTGTTTTGTTGCAAAGGCTTTACTTGAGAATTTTTATTCATTGCATTTGTAAATACTGAATTTTCATTTAGTGTGGAATCTTTTTTGCATAATTCACCCATTTTAAGTGTACAGTTCAGTATTTTTAGTATTTTCATATAGTTGTACACACATTATCATAAGTCTAATTCCAGAATAGTTCTTCACCCAAAAAGTTCTTGTTAGAGGTGATGGTGGATGTCTGGAATCCCAGAACTTGAGAGATATAAGAAGGGAAGACTAAGAGTTGAATGTCATCATCCTCACCTACACAGCAGGTGTGAGGCCAGCCTTCCTGACAGGGAGCCCTGTTCCAAAAAGAAAAAAACCTAAAGAAAAAACATTAGCCATCATTCCGTTTCTTTGAATTTTTTTGTTTTGTTTTGTTTTTTCAAGACAGGGTTTCTCTGTAGAAGTAGCCCTGGCTGTCCTGGAACTTGCTTTGTAGACCTGGCTGGCCTCGAACTCACTGAGATCTGCCTGCCTCTATCTCCTGAGTGCTGGGATATTTTACGCTAAATGAAATGTAGTGGAAGCTGCGGGCTGCTTCCTGCTACCTGGCTCCTGCATGGCTAGCTTTAACCAAAATAATTACCCGGAAACTGTATTCATTTAAACACTGCCTGGCCCATTAGTTTCAGCCTCTTATTGGCTAATTCTCACATCTTGATTAACCCATTTCTATTAATGTATGTAGCACCACGAGGTGGTGGCTTACCGGGAAGGATCTTAGCCTACATCCGTCTCGGGTAGGAGAATCATGGCGACTGTTTCACTGCCGTCTTTCTCCCAGCATTCTATTCTGTCTTCCCCACCTACCTAATTTTCTGTTCTATCAAAGGGCCAAGGCAGTTTCTTTATTAACCAATGAAAGTAACACATAGACAGATGACCCTCCTCCATCAATGAAATTTATGCTTTGAGGTTCATCTATGTTGTAACATGTATCAATTTCTACTTCATATTTTATGCTTAGATATTCCACTGTATATTTATGACATTTTGTTCACTCATGTCTTAATGTACATTTGAGGTTTTTCTACCTTTTGGCTATTATAAATACTCCTATTAACATTGTTGTAAAAAGATGTTGTATGGACATATTTCCAATTATTGTGGTTATGTATACCTGAATGGAATAATAGTTGGGCCATATGGTAACACTATGACTTTATGAGTAACTGCTAGACTGTTCTAAAGTGGCTGGCTGTATCATTTACATTCCCATCAGCAGTAAGTATACCGGCTATGCTAGATACTGAACCCAAAGCCATGGATTTCTAAGTTATTAGTTCTTTTGCGCTTGGAACTCTTCATGATTTTATCTTTAAATGAAATAGTATTTAGTAGACTGCATTTCAGAGCTGAATGTTGTATACCTACCCTAGATATCTTGATGAACCCTATTTCAGCTATTTTTCTATTACTGAAAGGAGATTTTCTTTTTTTTATTCCTGTGAGGTTGGAAATTAAACCCAGGGTTTTGTACATGTTAGGTGAGTGATCCACTGCGAAAGTATGCCACCTGCCTGGTTTCCTCAAATTGTGATTTTTAAAATTTATTAAAGATTTGTGTTTGTCTGTTTTCTATTTTTGTTTGGAATTATGAGATGGCCTTGCTATGTAGTCCTGGCTGTTCTCAAACCTGGAGCAGTTCTCCTACCTCTGCTCCCCGAGTGCTGATATTACAAACATACAATACCATGCATGAATCTTTTCTTTATCAGGAGCTATAATCACACAGATATTACTTTTCTATATTTCTGTAGCTTTCTAACTTTGTTTCCTTTTTACTCTCCTCCCAATGCCATTTTTATTTTTCCATTGTTTTACTTTAATGTCTTCTTTCGATGTACTTGATTACTACATTTTCACTCGAGTTTATTCTCCTTTGAGTAGCTTGGAAGTTCCACTTTTGAAAAACTAAACTTTTGATGCCTCCCTGTACACAACAGAGTTCAGTTAGCTTTTTTTATTTCTTATATTTCTTTTTGTTTTTTTATTGGATTTTGGTTTATTTCTTTTTAGACTGGTTCAAGGTAGAGATTCTCACATAGGTATATGTCACTCACTTTCTAATTCAAGGTGATTTTTAAAATAGTCTCTTGTTTTTAATATACAACATTTAATTATCTTTTGAGTGTAGGTTTGTAGTTTTCTTCTGCTTCATGGTTTCTGTAGAGAAATTTTCTTTTTCTATTTGTCAAAAAATAGATGCTGTCCACTGTTAATTTTTAAAATAAAACCCATGACTATAAGGTAATATTTCACTTTTATTTCCTGGGTTCTTTTTTTAATTGATATTTATTGAGCTCTATAATTTTCTCTGCTCCCCTCCCTGCCTCTACCCTCCCCGTTCAACCCTCCCCCAAGGTCCCCATGCTCCCAATTTACTCAGGAGATCTTGTCTTTTTATACTTTCTACTTCCCATGTATATTATATCTATGTAAGTCTCTCTTAGTGTCCTCATTGTTGTCTAAGTTCTCTGGGATTGTGGTTTGTAGGATGGCTTTCTTTGTTTTATGTTAAAAAAAACCACCTATGAGTGAGTAGATGTGATAATTGTCTTTCTGTGTCTGGGTTACCTCACTCAAAATAATGTTTTCTAGC